CTTGGCTGCCGCCGCCGCCTTGTCTCCCCAAGCTTGTCTCCCTTCATGATTTGGCTGCCACTGCCGTCTTGTTTCTCAAGTTTGTCTCCCTTCATAACTTCGCTCTTGGCTGCCGCTGCCGCCTTGTCATTTTCTTGCTTGCGTTTGACGCGGATGCTGTTATAAGATGATTTAGGTCTTGTTTACCTTTTCCATCCTGTTCCCGCTTTGAGTGGGATGTCTCCCAAGCTTGTCTCCCGCTCTTGCCATGGTGTCCAACTTTTCTTGAAGTGCTATCTGGGGTCTATGCCGGTATATTATATTTTTTTTTTCGAAAGGACACCCGTATTACATCGTTTTCTTTGCCTGGGATCCGGACATGGATCCATAGATCTACCATAAACAGTTCAAGAGCAGCTGGCACCGAAACGTGGCAGTTGCCATGTGTTTTGTCCTGCTTACCTGGTGGATGGTCTTGAATCAAAAGCACCTGTTCTTTTATCACCAACAGCAACTACTCAAAGGGCACGTGCCATGCTTTGCATTCCCGCAGCTGTGACAGAGAAGAGGATGGTAAGCACATGTAAGCAGAGAGAACGTTGCGACTTGGAGTGAGATGTTTCAACCACCGAATGCGAATTCACCATGCTTCCCACGGCGAATGCGAACCAATGAGTTCAATGTCCATGTGAAAGTCGTTCAACATAAAGGCACGTCAATCCTGCAAAGCTGGAATGGACTTCTTGGAATGGCCTTGTTCCTCCATTGGAGCCTCGAGCGAGCTGAACGGCGAAACATTTGGCCCTGCAACAGACCCTTAGCCCAAGCCCTACAACGGATCTAACTGGATACAGATCCAGTGACCACTATCACTAGATCAAGATCACTAAATCCACCAGAAATATATGTTGGTTCCTCTTTTAATTGGGGCCACTCATCCAAAACCTAGCCTTCAAAGACCATGGTCTTATTTCGGTTCACCTGGTGTTTATAGTCTACAAACCTCCATTTCAAGCAATATGGTTTGTTCATAGAACCGATGGATTCATGGATTTATGGCCTGGGGCCACGAAATCCCACCACCGATCCTTGGACCCTCCTTAGAAGGGGTCGAACCCCTTTATAACAAGGGTGTGTACCGGTGCGGATCCTTAGATATCCTTAGGGCATGGTCAATCCAGCAATCCTACATCAATCAATGTGGGTGGGCCACGAATGCTGCGGCTCAACGAGTTTGGCGAACGCGTCTCGTCTCCATGCGCTGTGCCTGCTTCGACTGTCCATGCCGATGTGGCGATGTGCCTGCTTCGAGGGGCTGTGGAGGGAGGCGGCGATGGGACCTGTACCAGTCGACCCGGGAATCGTGGCTCCGAACATGGGTGTCGGTACCAGCAGTTGGGGTACTGAATAGAGGAAGTCGGGGCGCCCCCTTTCATATCCACTGGGATTAAACACCACCCTGGAACTGGTGCCTACCTTGGCCCCGTTTCAACCACCCCAACGTAGGCATATGTAGGCATGTATTCCATACCGGGAGTGTCAGGGTACTCCAATTGGGTACAAACATGTACAACTTTGGTGCCTTGGAGTGTACTTTGGAGGGTCCAGGAAGATTTGGACTACCAAAATAAGCATAAGAATCTGAAGATTTGATGGTGATTCCGCAGATCATGCTCCCACAAACACAACAAATCTCCTGGTGGTTTTGCTCGACTCCCCTTGCGAAGCAGTCGACATCACCCTAACCATCCATGGGACTTAATAATCAATGTACTTGGACCCGACTTCCAGTACCAGTACCTTGGAAAATGGGACATGACTTTCCAAACAGGCACTTGTACTGATTTTCCGAGGTACTTTCACGGGTCAACTCCAGGTACTGGAGACTGGAATCGTCACCTACATTTGGCCCTCAAATGCCCTACAAATCAGTTTCCAGCAGTCACAAAGGGGTAGTGCCGAACTTGGAGGAAAGAGTATAGGTGCCCCTGTCACATCCACGAGCCCTGGATGGGACTCAAACCACCCTTTCTCACCTTCAGCTGATTTGCGCATCTCCGGTTCCTATGGATTCGTGTACCCCCGTCCGATCCATGGATTTGCTCCCGTGTGGCCACTGCTGGTTGCAGCACGCCACTGGACTGCAGTCCTGTGGCCAGTCCGACTGGTGGTTTTGAGTGGTGAATGTAGGCTTGACCTTCGGTATGGCTCAAACGATCTCCAAAGGATTGAACTGCTCTCAAAAAATGGACGATCTCCTACTAAAAGGAACATTGGTGTGTGCCGATCGGTATGATTTGTTTGAGCAGATACCCGCCATATGTGGATGTCTTGAAGCATGCCTTCTCTTGAAGAGGCTTCTCTTTGCAAAGATCACCTGTTACCTGAGAGGAAGAATCAACAATCAATTTCCTTTGGCCCATTGTAAACAGCCCAAATCTGCCGGGAAGCGTTTTGTTCTTCTTCGCCTTCCTTCATCGGAAGGCCGAAAAGCGAGACAAACCACAGGTGGGCCGGCGCGAGACCCGCGCCGCGCCGCGAGATCGACGGGATGTGTGGCTGTCGATCCAGGAAAATCCCTCCCAGCAGAGCTTCATTGAACACCTTGGTGTTCAGTAAGGACATAGTCATAAGGTCCTTGTTATGTTTGTTTTGCTACCACGCTCATTTTGGCCGTAAAGATTCAACAGCTGGACAGTTCGGTTCACCCATGAATTCTTTTCCGATCTCATGCATCAAGGTCAGATGAGCAAAGCAACGCCCTGGGTCGTTTTCACCCAAGACCCTAGGACTCCTGGCCCAGCAGAACTTTGGTCTTTCTTTACCAAAGAACATACCCACAGCACACTACACCGCGACACATGAAGAGGATCAGGCCGGCAGGGAAGAGTGGGAGAGGAGGCACAATGAGCTGTGGGGCTGTTGACACGCCCAAGTCGTGACACGCCGCGACAAGCGGCGGGGTGTAGAGGACCGGACCCAAGATGTCACGACCGAAAGCTGTTTTCGCGCCAAGCTGTCCGGCAGCAGGTCGGACCGTCTGAAAGACCACTCCCTTCACCCCACCGGCGCATTAGTTGAGTTGCGAACGACCGGCTTGGTTTGGTGTATGGTGGCATGGCGCTACACGCATTTGCTTGAGGACGCCACAAACACAGTCCTCTTGGCAAGTTGCATAGCAAACAGTTTGACACCGCAGCAAGGCGCCGGTGTCATACACCAGCATACTACCAGACTCTGGCACGTGCGACAGGCAGAGGAGTCCTGATACCTGGAGGTCCATTGTGCGACGACATGGCATAGAGTTCATGTCCGTGGTCTTGTGCGACGACATGGCGGAGTTGAGGGCGGTTGGATGGAGTCACAGATCGCATGTTCTTCGCCCAATTAGGAAGGGCCCACCGGGAAGAGGGCCTGCCAGCCCAGTACAAGCGGTATGCCACGGATGTCTAGATGCTTCCCTTGTTTCAGCCAGACATGCTTCC